AGATTAAACTGCGAAAGGCAATGAAACCAAGCCTCTGGGCAATTTTATATTAAAAAAACAAGTGGATAACTCATAAAATGTTTTATTATCAGATGATAAATCTAGGTATTTAAATTTTAACAGAACACAACTTCCATATAAAGATCTATTTCCAAGATGGCTAACCACCATCCAGTTGAAAAGATTATAAGATGGGCTAGTTTTACGGCTAGATTTTCTCAAATTAGACATCATTACACTTAAGGGGAAAGGATTTGAAAACTACACATCCTAGCCCTGTCATAGATTAGAAGGATAGTTCAGGCTCACAGAAGTTGTAGCTTTATTCATCCCCCTTAGTGCTTTAAGTTTAGTAACATAAAAGCACGATATTTAAAGGGAATCTCTCAAAGATGGTTCTAACAACCATAAACTCTGATAGAATGAAAAGTAACATAATAATACATCTTTCAAACCATTATATCCTTCCTGCCCCTCAAAAAGGATTATATGAAGAATCTGGCTAGATTTCTTGATGGGTAGTCAGCCTTTATTTGAATATTAGAATGTAGTTTATTTTTAGTTTGAAATAAAATGAACATACACTGGTGCACCAACAGAATAGGTTATAGTATACCAAAAAAAAAAAAAAAAGATAAACAAAAAAATGAGTAATTTTTACAAATGTTACTAAAAACATTCAAGAACAAAAAACTAGTATGAAATTTTTTTCTAGCTTATGGTTACATACCATTTATCATTCCTAGAGGTGAGAAAATTTGCCTTTTTTTTTTTTTTTTAGGTATTCATATTGTAAGGTTAAAAGGTGAATCTAAGAGCCACTATGCAGTGGCTTAAGTAAAAGACCCTGGACCCAAAGCCCCCGGACTCTAACATCATATAACAACAAAGGCATAACCAATGGAAACTTTCACTGTCTTTTCCTTTAGTGTACAATGTATCTAAAATTAGGTTCATTCACAACCAGATAATAAAGGAGTATTATGCCTTTATTACAACTGAGGTTAACAAACCTAGATCTATGTGCTAGGCCCAAAGTATGAAGTGTCTGAAAGTGTCCAATGGATCTATTATTAGTTATACTCACATTCAAGTAACTATATCGCTTTCTTCCTTGTGTGAGTTCTATGGATATGTTTGAAAAAAATAGGAACATCAGGTACTTACAGATTAAACTAACCTGTACTGGCAGGGCTGTGGGATTTTTCTTCTCTACCAGTAAGTAGCAAATGCTGAAATTCTGCTGCTAGTTAACAAAAACACAAATTGTATTAAACTGAGGAGTTCAATCCATAGTTTAAAAAAGTCAATGTGCATTAAATTTCCTCAGAGTCTGATACTAATACATTTAAAATTTTTCCCTACGTTTTCCAGTTATCTTGCATTGGCTATTAAATTTAGAGTGAACGTATAAGAATGCACTAAGAACAATGAAAGTCTCTTGGACACATTACTAGTTTAATTATTACATATTCCAGTATGTGAATTCCAAGGAAAATTTGGTTACCACACAAAAGCGGGGGTGGGCATACATCTTAAATGTGATGATTTCTAAATTTAAATTAATATTTAGACACTACCCACAAAGGCAACCATTTTTAATAGTTTTTGATTCAATTTTCACAAAAATTTGATTTTCTTAAAGATTCTCAATTTTAAAAACATGGGCGCAGAAACAAATTCTATTGTTTCTCTTTGAAGTACCTAAATAAGATAACTGGTACAATGTGGGCTTTGCTCAGTAACTAAATGCCCCTTATTTTTCTAACTCAAACTTATAGGAACTATAATAACTGTTCCCTCATTCCATTTAGGTAGTTATGCAGCCTTGTTTTGTTAATGAGGGACTGGGCAACGATGCTGCAAATATTGTTTATTTTTATTTCAGATCAACTGCTGATCTATCTAAGAATAAAATTTATTAGCAGCTACATTAAAATAAATTATATGGTGAAACCTCTAGTAACAAAATGCAACCCACAAGCAGAAATGTTCCTTTTTCTACATTTAAGGTTCTTGGGTCAAACACCATACAATGTAAATTGGGGACATATTATTCATTTTTATCCAATCTGGGCATTAATGAACTCCACTGCTAGATCCCAAAATTAAACCAAAGGTGAAGGCATACAAAAACAAGTTCAGCCACTGTAACATGGGGAGAGGGGCTCAAAAGTGTGAATAGAAGACTTCACCTTTTTACAAACACAGCATTCCATAAATCCCTAACTAAATATCCTGCATATTACTGAAGCTGTGTCTTATCACAACCTTATATACTATTAAGGAATTTAGAATACTGGATGTCAACTATTAAGACAGTTTACTGGCTTGGCGCCTGTGGCTCAAGTGGCTAAGGCGCCAGTCACATACACCTAAGATGGTTCAAATCCAGCCCTGGTCCGCCAAACAACGATAGCTGCAACCAAAAAATAGCCAGGCGTTGTGGCGGGCACCTGTGGTCCCAGCTACTTGGGAGGCAAAGGCAAGAGACTCGCTTGAGTCCAGGAGTTGGAGGTTGCTGTGAGCTTTGATGCCACAGCACTCTACCCAGTGGGACAGCTTGAGGCTCTGTCTCAAAAAAAAAAAAAAAAAAGTTTACTCATGTCTTTCTTCTGTGTTTAATTTGATCAAAACTAGTACATACATAAAAATACTCTCATAAATATGACTGTATGCCTCCTAAAGAACCTATCCATGAACATTTCCATCTAATGAGCCAGTCTTGATTTATAATACAGTGTTCAATTTGCTTCAAACAGAAATAGTTCAAATTAGTTTCACTGAAGACCTCTGTTGGGATGGAAATTTCTGTCATTCATATGACTTTTGCATTGGGCAGCGCCTATGGCTCGGCTCAGTGAGTTGGGTGCCAGCCGCATATATGGTGGGTGGCAGGTTCAAACCTGGCCCGTCAAACTGCAATAAAAAATAGCTGGGCACTGTGGCGGGTGCCCATAGTCCCAGCTATTCGGGAGGCTGAGGCAAGAGAATCACCTAAGCCCAAGAGGTGGAGGCTGCTGTGAGCTGTGATGTCACAGCACTCTACCGAGGGCGACAAAGTGAGACTGTGTCTCTTAAAAAAAAAAAAAAGTCTTCTGCATTCTGCTTAGTAAAATATTTTCCCCTGAGAACACATGAGCTGTAACAGATTTAATGAGATCGTTCAAATTATTCAAAGTAATTTAGTTTCAAACAAATCATTTTCCAAGAGTTGGGAAGAAAGGGAAAAAAGCTCTTCAGGACCAGAGTATTATGTAAAAATGTACAAAGATCATAGGTAGGTCAGTGTTTTCTAACAGCAATTCTCCTTTGAGCCTTACGGTTTATTTTTGAAACACTACTTAGAAAATTTAGATATATTTATGTTATTAGGGAGCTCAAAGTGAAGTCTTGGTTTCCACATCTCCTATGTTACTGGTTTGAATTAGATCCATAACAGGATCTAATGCCTAAGAATTTAATATAGTTTTGAAAATGCACAATTACAAAATTATGATTACTCCTTGTGTTCATGATACTATACACAACATCATTAAAGAAAGTGTTTCTTATTTTGCCAAGAAAAATCACACAGAAAAGTCAGATGATTTCACTGCTATAAAAATGAAAGATTATAAATGATTCAGATGACAGAAACAAAATACTAAGAAAACAGTCAAAACAAAAACCAAAAAAAAACTTTGCTGTCATGACACAGATAGCAGAAGTGGAATTAGGGGAATGCTTACAAAAATCTGCCCTATGGTCAACAGTCTTATAATTGAATCCCTCCTTTTAGAGGACATTTTCACAGAAATTATAATAAGAGAAACTGAGTTTCATTTTGGAAAAAACATACAAAGGTTATTCGATATTAGGTAGGTAAATACTACCTTTAAAAAAAAATACCTGGTTTATATAAAATTTTATGTAACATGTACCAGATATGTCTGGTACATATTCAGTATTTCTTTATCCCCTTTCTCATATAAATTCTGTCCACTTTCATCAACTTAATACAAACAAAATTTAATCTTAGTTAAGAAGTGACTTAAAATTCTCATTTATCAAGTTTTACCAGTGGACATTACAGATACTTCAAAGTTATGTAATTTTCAAAATCTTACTTGAAAGAGTCACGGAACTACAAAGATGTTAAACTACATTTTAAATTAACTGGCTATATTGCTTTTAACAAACTGTGCCACCATTAGTAAATCATTACCACCCTGATTACTCAAGCAGTAAGAACATATTTCTATTACACTTATTTCAATTATCATCATTAGAATTAGGACAGGCACCTTCAAGAGATTTCAGAATACTGGGAACAGTGGGTACAAGAGAAAACAGATTTCCAATTAAGGAGTGTTGTGTGAGTTTATGAAATAGTCCAGTGGAATATTTTATAATGGAAATAACAAAAAAAATTAAGTATGTGCAGGGCACAGTGGCATGCACATATAATCCCAACTACTCAGAGGCTGAGGCATGAAGAATGTTTGTGCCCAGGAGTTCAGGGCCAACTTGCGAGAACCTGTCTTTAACAAATAAAATTACAATACGAAAAAAAATTTTCAAATACGAAAAAAAATTTTCAAATATCAAAATCCTTTTCTACATTTCAGTCATAGTAAAAAGCTTGTGTTCTAATTAAATAAGAATTTATTTAGTGCATACATTTTCTTTATGCTTCCAAGAATGAAAACCACACAGAAACAATTCTAGGTTCACTAAATATTACCCTGTATGTTGTTATTTTTCAAGAGGAAAATATAATCTGGATAGAACAGTGGCTCAAATACCCAGAACAAATGTCATCTGGGAGAAGGGCCTGGTGGCTCATGCCTGTAATCCTAGCCCTTTGGGAGTCTGAGTCTCTACTAAAAACAGAAAAACTAGGCAGGTACATGGTGTATGCCTGTAGTCCCAGCTACTTGGGAGGCTGAGGCAAGAGGATGGCTTATGCCCGAGAATTTGAGGTTGTTGTCAGATATGATGCCATAGCACTCTACCACAACAACAACAGAGGGAGACTCTGTCTCAAAAAAAAACAGAGAAGTAATCTGGGTTTATGTTTTTGGCCTCTTTCCAAATTCCCTCTTTTATGCCCTACAACAAGCACACATACATACAACTTTTCTCACCAAATAAAGGCAATTTTTAGTTGGAAATAAATGTGGCTACTTTTTACATGTGTATAAAACATTGTTAAGGAAAGCTGAAAATGAACCTCAAAATAATTATTCCAAAACCACAGATTAACATATTAATAACTTTACCACATGATCCAATTTGTTTGGCTACCTAAAAATTAGTCATCTATCTATCCATGCCAAACACTCACTTATTACATCAACTCCACGATGTATACCCAACACAAGCACACACATACACACCTCCTTCCCACTCTTCACAGGGCTCTACATTAACATTTGCTCTAGTGTGGTGAGGTTTGAAATTATTAAAAATCACAAGCATTTCTAGATAAACCTTTCAGACTTAACATTCAATGTATAACTTTGGAAATAATAATGCAGATTTAGGTATCCAGTGGTATTTACAATGATTATACTTATCTTTAAGGTTAAATTTAATAGTGTGAGGAGTATATAACCAGTAAGATTTCCCTAGAAGTCAAAGTGGAAAATTTGAATAAAACATTTCATGCCTCCAAATTGAGAAGTGCAAATTTTGCAAATGTACTTGAGTTCAATATCGTAATATAAGCTTTACTGAAGTTATTATGTAACACAAAGCAAATTATCTAAAATTGCACAAGACACTTTTATTAACACCACAGTCAAACGTGAATATTAATATAGAGCCTTCTCTGCCAAAAGTGTATAAAAATCCTAAGTTTAATTAAATTTAGGGGCCTTCACCAAACTTGCTGCAAGTTTGGGGACATAAATATCCAACAGCCATAAAGCTGTGAAAGCCCCTATAAGGAATAAAATAAATCCCACTTGCCTCAGACTGAACAGGGCAACACTGAGACTCAGCCTCAGCCTGTCCTATGGCAGGGCTATAGGAAGAAGAAAATTTTAATTTTAGAAAAACGTTACCCAATTAATTTAAAAGACATGCATTAAATTAAAAAAAAATCCCAATGATCAAGCAAGCAATGGAAAAAGAGTAGCTCTTTTTTGTTTAACTATTGTCTACTACAATTCCATCAGAGCCCATACTTTTAGTTGGGGATGCCCCCACCCCAATAACTAAGTTTAATTAAACTGAGTTTAAATGGAACATATAACTTGATCAGTGGAATAGGAACACACTAAGAGCATTTTCCTCATATCCAATAACACATGTCTGAGACATAAAGTCAAATCATCATATTCCAACCAACCACTCAGATGTTGATCCTCAACTGCTGCTCTCATTACTGCCACAGAGTAGTAAAACTTACACAATAGAAACTAGTGCCAGACAAAATGTTTTCTTCCCTAAAAAGGGTGGATGTAAGTAAAGTAGAGCCAAAACTCCCAGCCCTATTAATCTACAACTTCCTTAATTATGGCAATCATAATGCCTGCCTGAACAGAGCAAGTCCCAAATGTTGTCTTCTGTAAGGGCAATTCATGTTCAGTTTGACTCAACTCCATTTACTACTTAAGGAAGTAAAGTCAGAGTTAATTATTCCAACTTAATTTCTTCCATCATGATCCAACCACACTATGGACCCCAGAAGCATTTAGGAAAAAGGTATTTTCTAGAAGCTTAATTATGCTTGGATACATGCAAAAATTACACATTAAATACATTAAATGGGCACCGCCTCAGCGTCATATTGCTACAAGCAAAGGAACTCGGGCTTAGTTTTTTTAGGTGCCAGTGCATAACCCTTTCAATTTTAAATCAGAGCTCTACCAGTTTTTTAAATTTGTATTTTCTACCTTCAAACCCTCCAAGAGCAACAAACCTTGCATAAAACACAAAGTTTTGCATAATTTTCGAAACAGATCTACTAGTCCTTTGGCAGTTTGTTGTTAAGTCTATACATGAAATTCTTGAGACATTTGGTTTAGGAGAACATCTCTAATTTAATTATTCTAAATTTAATCATGCCATTTATTTTTTAAAATCTTAAACATTTTAAACACAGGTTTTTCTCTGGCAGGATAATAAATGTGCTGCCAAATCTAAGCATGTATTTTTCCAAAACCATTTAGGCAGACTGTTGACAATAGAAATGCATTCTTGGTGATATTATAGATGTTTTCTTTTCAAACTATGAAATTTTTGCACCTCAGCGGTACCACAGCACAGAACTATGAAGTCATTGGGGCAAATTATCAGATTTAAAAGCATTCAGCTTGATAAGTCTTGTGATTTTTTTTTTAATGAATGACTTTTACGTGTCACTTCAATACACTCTTTCGTGATTAAAACATTTTTCAATACATCTTCCTTCAAAGCTAAAATTCTTTTTTCCTTACATCAGATTTCACATCTTTTATCTATAAGTTATAAAGAAATGTTACCATTTTCTTGTAAGTCTTAAATTTATATTGAGAAAAACTTGAGTGCATTATATCAACAATTATTTTGTATAGACTTGATATTTAATCATAAAACTAACCTGCAAAAGATGAGAAAAACTTGCCAAAAGATCAACAAGAGCTATTATTATAAAAAGACTTGCAACACAAAATAATGAATAGCAGTCAAGTTCTCTGTAAGAACACAGTAACATTCAAAATTTCTAAGGATGAAAAGCTGAACAATAAAGCCATCTAGGCTCAATAACAGAAGGAATTCACTCTAATCAAATGAAAACTATAATATCCCAGGAACATAGTACAGTTAAATTGTTAATCCTTCCGTTATTCATCCTAAAGAGGAACACTTAGATTCTCACCATTAAACTTACAATAACAAATATATACCAACCCATTAACAGCAGAAGAAGCTATTACTGCATGCACCTAAGCTTCTAGAAGTTTGCACCTGAAAAGCTTCTGAGGTCCATGCAGTACTAAAGTTTCAAAAATAATCAAAAGGAAATGAATGGGTCTGGCACTAGGCTCTAAACATTTCAGCAGGAATGAAAAAATACTAAGGTGTACATATTTAAATCTGACATACACTGGTACCAAGGGGGGGGGAGTGAAATAATAGAAAGATTCCACATCTATTATGTAATGACTCATATGTATCTAAGCTTTTTGTTAACTGAAACATTAACATACAACTCTATACTTCTAATTTACTGTTCAGTTTAAAACATGCAGTTAAAGGACAACCTATAACTCAAAGACAGAATCCAATGATATATCAAAACTGTATTGGTAACTATGAATTTTATTATGTGGACATCTACTGTGGCATGCATCTGTACAAACCTTTCAGGCAGTGGTCCACAGCTGGGTTATGAATAAAAAGGCATAAATTTTTCTCTCATTTTATTACAATGAATTTTAACAGTACAGAAATTCACATGACCTTGGTGGGTCAGATTTCTTAAACCCTGCAACATGAGGAACTCTAAATACATTAAATATTGTTACACATTCAGACTTCCAATGTACAGGTACTTGAAAACAGTTACAGCCCTCACCAAGCTAGGTTGGGGACGTGAAGTCCAACAGCATCTGAAATGCTGTGAAGGCATAACTTTACAAATAGCAATGTAAGCTTACAGAACTTGCCTTTATTAAGGTGGTATGTTCATGTAATTCCAGCGCCTTCACAATTTAACGAACCAAATTTACTATACTTCACTTCTAAAAACCTAGATGAAACATGAAAAAGAAGCCATACAGTATAAATTGCAACTTCAGGAAAAGTTCCTGCTTTATTATTCCAAATAATTTTTCCCATGTAAAATAAATGTCCAATAGTTCCTGGTATGTGGGAAGATAATGTTTGTTAAAGTCACAATGAAGCCTTATTGACGGAAGCTTGGCTATATAAACAGCACAAGTTGAGAAAAGGTTTAATCTCCAAACCTATTAGACTGGATGAAGTAAGATCAGTAGCGGCCACCTTGCGACATTACAGGAGGTCTCATTCCCATCGGAGGTCGAGGAGGCCCACCTTGGTAAGGGGGTACCATTGGCGGTCCCTGCCCATATGGCGGCATAGCACCAGGAAGGTAACCTGGCATGCCTTGATGATGACCACCATACTGACCTAAAAAAAAAAACAACATTTAAAACAGAAAAAATAGATTGAGTTGATCTATGCATTGTATTTTTAAATGTAAACATGCATTCTGCAGATAAATTTAACATTTCATGTATATACTCAAAAATCCACTAAATACAATAAACACAAAAAGAAGAATACCATGAGGTGGCATTGGTGGTCTCATTCCTTGTTGCTGTGGGATGCCTGGTTGTGGTGGCATCATACCTCCAATTGGTCCAACTGGTGGATTACCGATGGGAGCCTGTCCTGGTCGAGGAAGATTACGTTGATATTTAGGTAACTGTGCCCTTCTTTCTTCCTATAAATGAAAATAAGCACAATGTAATAGGCCTGACTGCAGTGAGATTCATTTAGCATAGAAGTATGCATCTAAAATCTTATTTATAGTGTTACAAGCAATTCTTTAAAAATGTACCCTTAATCCCCAACTAATTATTTTTGCCCTGCAAACCGTGCAACTATATAAAGTCTCAATGCCTTTAAAAAAAGAAAATTCACCTATTTTTATACTGCCAGCATGGCTAACAATTTTCCAAGAATTATAAGTTGCTTAGGCAAGAACTACTGAAGTATTATCAAAATCCTAAATATTAACTTTATATCAAAATAAATTCCTTTATACGGGCTACAAGGGATCTGCAGATTCTACCTCATACTTTAATGTTTCTTCAATTAAAATATGTATATTTACATCTAACACTAAAATGATTTAATAGAGTAAAAACCCAACTTACTGTCTTTTAGAAACAATGTAGAAGAAGGGGAAAGAAAGCATCTACTATGACCAAACATGCAATATCCATTCACTTTAAATATTTTGTATACTCTTAAAATTAACTCAGAATAGTAAAAGCCACTTAGCATTAAATCAGAACATAGGCCATCCGAGTACAAATTAACACTTTCAAAGGGCTGGATCTGTTTCAAATCAAATGCTGCTGGTAAAAAACTGAGAACAACTTACCAGTGATATATCCTCATCTGGATGGATCAACTTACTGGTTGCACTAGTTGTCGTTAGTGTAGCAGGCTTACTTGTTATTGAGGCTGCTGGTTTAGCTGCAGTACTATTTGTTGTACTAGTGGTTGAAGCTGTAGACTGCGTGTAAGCAGGGAACGTAGGCTTTGGGGGTTCTGTAGTTGTTGCAGGGGTACTATTTAAAGGCTTGAAATCTGTACCAACAGGTCCTGGGACAGCTGCCTGAGCCTACAAAACAGAATCTTTCATCAATGAAACCTTAAATTACAAGTGTATCTATTAATAGCTTAACTTAAAAACAAGACACCAACATTAAACAAAGGCTCAAACTTTAAATTAAAACAAAGTTATGAAACACTACACAAAATTCAAGATAACCCATAAGAATATCAAAAGATGCTGGTTTAAAGTCAAGTCCAAAAGACAGTAGTACATGTAAATATTAAGACTATGTAAATTTTCAGCTGACTTCTACCTCCTCACTGAAAGTCAAATTGACAATGCATTGTATTTATTCCAAATCATTGAAATACAGTATAACTGCATAGCATGTGTTTCACTGTTCTAAATTAGTTGATTAAATTAAGCAGCGCCCTCCCCCACAAAAACCCTATTTAAGTTTAAATAAGACCCAATTACTAAATAGAACTTGAACAATTAGTAAATGATGACACATTAGAGACATGTCCTCTAGAACTATTCTTTATGTATTATTACAATCCCCTCGGAATTATCATTGGCTAGATAATTATGGAGAAAAGGGCTGACTTAGAAGGATTATTTAAGTAAAAAGTTACCACTAACAAACATATTACTTTTCATAACATCAAACACATATAAAACAAGGAAGACTAAGCCAACATTCAGAACCAAATGCAGAACACTAAATTTCTTACATTAAATGTGATGCATTAAATAGCAGAAATCAAAATAGTTTAATCATGCATCAGGCTAACCATTGGCCACTATAATGCATTTACTGCTTACATGCTTTTAACCCTTTAGAACCATAGGCGTTTAGGGTACTTTCTGTTGGTGTGAATTTAAAATTTCAATTATCTTTGATTTATTAACCATTAATTTTACTTAAAAATTAAACATAGTATATGCATTTTTGGAAAAAATTTAGTTTTTAAGTAGGGTCCAAAGGGTTAAGTTATAAAGCCATTTTAACAATTTTAAACTGCAACTTCCTGCGTACTTGTGCTGTGCTAGGAAACAGAGCTTTAGAAGATGCAGACAGACTTTCTGAATTGGATGAAGCTGTACTTGAGCTTGTTACAGGTGTCCCCATCTGTAGCATAAAAGAAAGGAAACAATGAAAAGTCTCCAAACAAATGGGTGAAAATAAGCCACGTGGTAGACTTTTTAGTATAGATTGCACTTCTTGTAAATACAAATTTTAATGCAATCAAATATCATTTATTTAAAGAGGCAGTTAATGCATTTAAAATAAACAAAGTAAAAGAGCCTCAAAAAATAATTCAATTCTGTAACAATAAGCCTAATACTTAACAACACTTCTAAAGCTAATGTGTTTTGCACTGTGATATTTCAAAAATGATACCTTTAATCACGATAAAGGATAGAAAAAATAACACTCCAATTCTGTATCAATAATTCTCTAAAAAATGTTTTTAACCAAAAGCTTTACATCTCCCAACAAAACTACCACCTACTATAAAAGCATAATTTAATGTACTTAAAGGACATATAAAGGTAATGCTTTTAATTTAGCACCCCCCCAAAAAATTTAAAGAAAACATCTAAGGGATAATTAAAAAAAAAAAAAATAGGAAAATGAACATACATCCTGATCTTCTTAATTCTGAATGAATTAAATCTGAATCTGCTTAATTCTGAATGAAACTGAAAAAAAAGCAAAGGTTTTAACCATTATGTGCATACTATATAAATAAGCATCATTCACTTAAAATATTGAAAAGTTTTGAAGTTTAAAAAAAAAGACCAATAGGAAATAAGTGTGACTAGGCCAAAACAGGAAATCATGCCCTTCTATCAAGAGTGCAGCATCATTGCTCACTGTTTTAAACTAGAGGAAGAACCCAACAACGGTTCACTAAGGTCTTAAGGACTTTCAACTTCGGTGTTCATCTCATAGTTCAATTGGTAAGGGAGGACCTATAAACACTCCAAAAATTAAAATTTCAGTTTCTTGCCCTTTTGGGGGAAGAGGTGGGGGAGAGACAGTGTCTTACTCTGTTGCCCAGGCTATAGTGCTATGGTCCCAGCTTAGCCCATAGCAGCATTCTAAAACTCCTTGCTCAAGTGATTCTCCTACCTCAGCCTATTGAGTAGAAGGGTCAACTAGAGGCACCCACCAAGATGCCTGGCTAATTTTTTCTATTTATAGTAGAGACAGGGTCTTGCTCTTGCTCAGACTGGTCTTTAACTCTTAAACTCAAGGGATCCTCCTGTCTCAGCCTCCTATAGTGCATGAGCCACCACTCCTGGCCTAAACTTCCATTTAACTAAAGCTATGAATAAATACCAGTCCACAGCTATGAGAAAATTATATACTATATCCCTGGCTCCATTCAACCTTTCATGAATAGATGAAATCAGTGTATAACATGGAAGAGAATAAGCCACTACTTAAAAATAAAGAAAACTGACCTATGACAATTTCTGTAAACAACTGCACTTTACCTTTACTCCTTTCCATGAATTCCACCTTACCTGTCCAGCACTAGGGAAAAGAGGCTTAGTAACAGGAGGCTGTGGCGCAGGTACTGTTGCTGTTGGTGCAGGTGGTCTATTAAGAATACCTGGCGCTGAAACAGCCTGTGCCTGGGTCATTGGAGGGATTCCAGGACGTGGAACAGGAGGAGGCATACCTGCAAAGAACATGTGGGGGACTCAGTCATTAAAACATTTAGTTCAAAACTCAAGTTCTTCTTGCAATTGGAGAAGTCTTTCATGGAAACAGATCTGAGTTTTGGATCAATTTTTTGAAGGCCTTGCTTTGGTAAGGCTTATCATGTTGTAAAAAAAATTAAATAAATTAAAAAAAAAGGCTCGGTATCTGTACCTCAGCGGCCAGGGCGCCAGGCACATACACTGCAACTAGCAGGTTCAAATATAGCCCGGGCCTGCCAAACAACAATAACTACAACCAATAAATAGCCAGGCATTGTGGCGGGCGCCTCTAGTCCCAGCTACTTGGGAGGCTGAGGCTTATGAGCCCAAGAGTTTGAGGTTGCTGTGAGTTGTAATGCCACAGCACTCTTCCTAGGGCAACAGAGTCAGACTCTGTCCCAAAATAAATAAATAAAACCAAAACATTTAGTTCATAAAAAAAATACTTCTATATTATAGTTATTGATAATTGATTGCTAAACAATTCAATGAAGTCCAAAAAACTTAAGTCATTTTCCCCTACAACAATCTTGCCTCAAATTTCCCCTTCCTTTGTATTGCTTCAGAATTATACTAAGTGGAACACACCTCTAGACCTTAAATATGAGCAAAATAGCATTTAAGCCATTACTATTATCAGTGATTTACCAACTTCTTGAAATAAATAAGGCACTTATTTCAATCATCTATCAAATGTTTAACTGTTTCCTAAACACTAATGCAAATTACAGCAAAAACTTTGATGAATCAAAGTACCATGACCCATAAACAATTTTTTCTATACTTTAAATTTTCCTAAAATCCATCACTAATACCTTTCTTAAACTTCCTCTACATAGAATTTTACTCACTTCACAATACCAATAATTTCTCTAAATATAGAAACTTAGCTTAGCTTTTCTAAGCTTTCTAAGCTTTTCTCGGCTTTCATTAGTGTTTATATATTTAACATGTAGCTGAAGACAACTCTTCTTCCAATGTTGCCCAAAAAAGCCAAAAGATCAGACACATCTAGAAAATTTCTCACATTAATTGTGGAAGAAACATAACAGCCTATGGAACTTTAAAAATTATACTGCACCAATGTCCACAAGTCTATTGTCTAAAAAATGAACACAAGTATAAAGCCTGGCAGTCATATTAAGAAAAAATTATCTATCATATCATACCTGGTGGCATCCCAGGCATCAGAGGTGGTATTCCTGGACCAGGTGGCATCATTCCACCCATTGGCATCATTCTATTAGAAAGCAAATTTCAAGAAACAATTGATGTTAATTAACAGTATAAACTATTACAAAATGTTTTGGCTAAAGCCTGAAACAACACTAGATAAAAGACTTGAATTTGACCTCTAATACTGAAACCAACCAAGCTGAAAGAACACATAACACGCTGTAACAATTCTATCAAAATAAATTCTCTAAAACCCAGCAAACTCTTGGGGTGTACCAGTATAAGAAAAAAATGAAATACGAAAATAAAATAAAAAATTCAATGTTGACAAAATATTTAAAATGAGCTGTAATTCTAGCACTTTGGGAGGCTGAGGCAGGTAAGACTGACTGAGCTCAAAGGTTCAAGCCCAGCCTGAGCCAGAGCAAGACCTCATCTCTAAAAATA